GTGGAAGGATCGCCGGAGCCCAGCAGACAAGGCTGCGGTGGCCGGGAGCGGCCACTGCACCCCAGTCTGGGCGACCGAGTGAGACTCCAACTCAAAAAAAATAAAAATAAAAAAAAGTTCAGGCCTGGGTAATACAGCGAGACCTCACCTCAACAGCAATAAAAAAAGCTCAGCCTACTTCTAGAACTTCCCCATTTTGCTCGGCTGTGTAAACTTGCTTGTCCCATGCCAAGCATGGGTGGAAGTGTCAGCTGGTGGAAGTGTCAGTCCCTACCCTGGGGGGCACTCAGTCCAGCTGCTGGGCCAGGACAGAGCTAGGCTAGCTGGTTGTCCAGGCAGTCTTCGAAGGCTGTGACCATTCCGCAAGGGTCGCCGTGCACTTATTCCTCCTGTCCCTGTACCCACTCCCCTTGTACATGCTGAGCACTGTTTAGTGCTGCAGAAACCAAGAGAAGAAAAACCCAGTTCTTGCCTTCACAAATCTGCCAGACAATGTGGGGAGACAGCCTGGTGATGGGCTGGGTAGCAGGGTGCCCAGAGGCTGTGGGCACACTGAGGGGGCAGCTGACACCCTGGGGTGAGGGCAGGAGGGACCCCAAGAGTGTGCCCTGAGGAGGCTGGTCCTGAGCTCAGCTGGTGAGACAGGAGGCCCTGTGGGGGTGTCTGGAGCCAGAGCAGCCACGTTCACCCCCACCCTGCACTTGGAGCAGACTTGCCAACGCTACAGCCTTTCAGAGACCTGCAGGCCCATCATGCAAGGGATGAGCAGGGACCCTCTGGGCTGCAGCAGAGGTGAAGTGAGGACTGAGCAGGGAGACCAGAGGTTGGCAGGGAGCAGCCTCGCATTTGTTGCCTCATTTGGGAACAGGAGCCATCAGAGAGTTGGGAAGCTGGTGGTGACAGCCACGTGTGCCCTATGGAAGCAGCCCTCGTGGCGGCATTGTGGGGCTGGGGAGGGGCAGTCAGGAGGCACAGGCACAGCCCAGTCTGATGAGATTCGGGACAGATGGAGGCCTGGAATGAGGTAAGGCACTTGCAGGAGCAGGGCAGGAAGGGACCAATGGGAGACAGGAAGTGGAACCTGCAAGGCCCGGGGCCTTCATGAAGGGCGCAGCGGAAGGAGCAAAGACTCGAGATCAGCTCCAGACCTGGGTGCTGGGACATGAGTAGTGCCACCTGTGGGACACGGGGCACGGGACACTGAGTGGAAGTAGGTCCTGGTGTTGGCCGAGGAGTGTTGCTGTGTTGTGTGGTACATGTGCTACTCCAGGCGGAGGGGGCACAGCTGACTGGGAACAGGCGGCACGGAGACAGAGGGCCATTTGAGAATCATGCCCAGGGCTGGCCCTTGGAACCCTGCGTGCCAGTCCCATGGGAAAGCTGTAGGCTGAGGCTGGAGCTCCAGGGAACATCAGCATTTGAGGAAGAACCGTGATGGACACTAAGAAGGACTGTCCAGAGGTAGGAGGAAAACCAGGGGGAGGCGAAGGCCTCAGGGAGGGTGAGCAGTGATGGCAGACAGTGCAAGACACAGAGCCTCTGTGGGGCCTCACAGCCGGGAGGCTACAGCTAAGAGGAGTCATTCTATGGCACAGCAAGGGCAGTAGCCAGGCTGCAGCAAGGCCAGGGTGGCTAGGCAGGGAGGAAACTGAAGCAGAGAACGTGGACAGGCAGGGGGCCTGCAGTGATTGCTGGTCATCGTAGCTGACATCCTGGGTGTGGAGGGGCCCCTTCTAAATGCTGGGCTCGCTTTCTCCCCAGTTTTCCCCTCCCTCTCACCCTGCAGGAAGCTGGGATGAAGGTGAGGAGGAGGAAGCAAGGGCAGTGCTGGAAGGGAGGTCCCCCTCCTCTCCTGGACTGTTTTTAAAGGGAGGAGCTTGAGATGGTGGGAAACGGGCTGGTCGGAGGGGCCAGTGGCCCTGCCCTCTGGGGCCTGGGAAGAGACCTGTGCTCCACGGGCTGGGGTTTTCTGCTCCTCTGGGGCACAGCCAGCAGTGTGAGTCGGGAACTTGGGGTCATGAGGATCAGTCACCTGTTTTCAGGTAAGGAGGGGCTTAAGGATCCTCTTCCAGAAGAGCCGGGTGTGGCTGCGCAGAGGTGCAGAAGAGGAACCAGCCCCTCCCCACCGCCGCACCTTGGGCCTTCACAGCTTCACCAGCCCAGCCTCTCCTCCTGCCAAACCTATGGGATTGCCCAGGCCCTTCCTGGCATTCTTTGGAAGTGGAATCTTACGGGTTTTGAGAAAAACCGCAGACGCTGACCTGAGGGCTGGGCAGGTGTGGACAGGGCGGCCACGGAGCCCTCAGGAGTGTCTGGAAACCGGGGCTCCTGGCCTGGGCCCTGGGGAGGGTCTCAGCAAGGGGATGCCTCCTGGGCTTTGGCAGCTGTGGACGGCCCTACCTGGGAGAGGAAGAGGCCAGGCGTTTAGAGCCAAATAAAGCAGCCACGTCACCCTGCCCCACGCTTGGAGCAGCCCTAAAAGTGCCCCCTGAGAGCGCAGTTGTTGGTGTTGAAAGAAAACAGAAGCTGGGCTCGGCAGCTCAGCCTGTAATCCCACCCCTTGGGAGGCTGAGGTGAGTGGATTGCCTGAGCCCGCGGGTTCAAGACCCACCTGGGCAGGCGAGACTTCATCTCTACAATAAATGAAAAAATCAACCAGGTGTGTTAGGGCACGCCAGTAGTTCCAGTTACTTGGAAGGCTGAGGCAGAAGGATCGCCGGAGCCCAGCAGGTAGAGGCTGCAGTGGCCAGGATCAGCCACTGAACTCCAATCTGGGTGACAGAGTGAGACTCCAATTCAAAAAAAAAAGAAAGAAAGAAAAGAAAACAGAGACAGGCAGGAGACGCGCTATTGGCCTTAGTCGACTATCCATGTGGAAGTTCATAAAGCTCTTGTCATAGTGTCCCTGTGTAACCTTTTTTAGAAGTCACAAGATAGAAAGGAGGTCCTTGCGTCCAGCCAGTGGCTTTCTTGGCTAAGAGCCCCAGACCCAGCACACGTGCCCCTCTCAGGCCCACAGCCCTGCAAGGAGGAAGGACAGACGTGTGGAGGAGACTCCCCCTAGGGTGCAGCTTGTCTGGATATAGCGTGTCCGGGACGGGGTGTCTTGGTGGAGGGCTGAGCCAGGCAGTCCGAGAAAGGCACCACTGGAGTCGGCCCCTCCCACTCAGCTCTGGGCGCTCACTTGCCCTCCCGCCTCACACCTTCTCTCTGGCTTCCTCCCCCCACAGTTCGACTTTGGGGACACCATGGTGCACCAAGCCATCCACACCATCGAGTACTGCCTGGGCTGCATTTCCAACACGGCCTCCTACCTGCGACTCTGGGCCCTCAGTCTTGCGCATGCCCGTGAGTTTGCAGCTCTCTCCCCAGAATGGCTGCCCCGGTGGGGAATCCCGTGAAGGCTCTGAAGCTGTGCTGGCTCCTGGGTCAGGGCAAGCCGGTGCAGACAGGAGGCTCTGCGCGCTGGTCCCACCACAGCTGCGGGGAGCTGGGTGCTGGGAGCCCTAAGGAGAGGGTGGCGGGGCAGGTCATGGCCCACAGGCCTCCTGTGGGACTGAACCGGCTGTCCCTCTGTTCCCCAGAGCTGTCTGAGGTGCTTTGGACCATGGTGATCCACATCGGCCTGAACGTGAAGAGCCTGGCGGGAGGCCTGGCTCTCTTCTTCATCTTCGCCTCTTTTGCCACTCTGACTGTGGCCATCCTCCTGATCATGGAAGGCCTCTCGGCCTTTCTGCATGCGCTGCGGCTGCACTGGTGAGGGGCAGTGGGCGGGCAGGGTCCTTAGCTGCGGCGAGGCTGCAGGAGGATGTGGGAGCTGGCCCCGTGCAGGCTTCACCTCAGGACACCAGCCCTGGCCTCAGGAGTGAGTGTGGCAGAAAGCGGGGCGGTGGAGAAGCAGGCTCGGCCTTTGCCAGGCTCCTGGGCCAGGTCCCAGGCGGGTGGTGTCCTCCCCTGCCTGTCTTGGGGGTCCCCTGTGCTCATGATTGGGGCTCAGAGGACCACTGAGGGCGGAGGCTTTCTGTGTTCTGCTCCAGCATGTGGCTTCCATCCTCAGGGCGATGAAGGCAGTTTGGGAATGGGACTCAGGTGTCCAGGGAGGAGTGGGGCACCCTGCAGCCCGACCTTAGCCCTTTGTTCTACTGCTGTGCCAGGGCTCTGTGGGTGGGACCCTGGTAGCTCCTCTGGGGGCAGGAGGACCCTGTTCCATGGTGTGGAGCTTCTTCAGAAGGGCAGGTTGGGTTTTTGTTTTCTTTAGTGAAAATGTGACTCTTAAAATTTATTCATTTGTTTATTTCTAGTCAGGATCACCCTGTTGCCCAGGCTGGAGTGCAGTGGCACAATCACAGCTCACCACAGCCTCAACCCCCTGGGCTCAGGCAATCCTTCTGCCTCAGCCTCCCAAGTAGCTGGGACTACAGGCGTGCACCACCACTCCCAGCTAATTTTTAAATTTTTTTGTAAAGATGAGGTCTCGCCATGTTGCCCAGGCTGGTCTCAAATTTCTGGCCTCAAACAATCTTCCTTCCTTGCCCCACCTCCCCCCAAAGTGCTGAGATTATGGGCATAAGCCACCGTACTGGCCCAAGTACAGGACTCCTCATGGTGTTGTGTGGAGAGAGGGAGTACAGTCTTAGAGTGGGAGCTTGGAGTCTGGTCTGTGACTTTGACCTCAAACTAGAGCTGGCAGATTTGGCAAATAAAAGTATACTGAGGGCCGGGTGCAGTGACTCAAGCCTATAATCCCAGCACTTTGGGAGACTGAGGCAAGAAGATTATCTGAGCCCGCGGGTTCAAGATCAGCCTGAGCAATGTGGTGAGACCTTGTCTCTACAATAAATCAAAAAAATTAGCTGGGCATGGTAGCACATGCCTGTAGTTCCAGCTGTTGGAAGGCTGAGGTAGAAGGATCACGGGACCCCAGCAGGTCGAGGCTGCAGTGGCTATGAGCGTGCCACTGCTCTCTAGCCTGGGCGACAGAGTGAGACTCCAACTCAAAAAAAAAAAAATTAACCAGGCATGGTGGTGTGCGCCTGTAGTTCCAGCTACTTGGAAGGCTAAGGCAGAAGGATCGCCAGAGCCCAGCAGTTCGAGGCTGCAGTGGCTATGAGCATGCTTCTGCACTCCAGCCTGGACAACAGCATGAGACTCCAACTCAAAATACACACACACACACACACACACTCAGTTAAGTTTGCATTTCAGGTAAACAACAAATTTGGTATGGGTGTCTCCCCAGTGTGCAGGGGACTGTGTTGTCTCTGGCTGTTATGCCCCAAACTCTGCCTCTTTGTTCTCCATGCCCTTGTTTATATCAATTCTCCCTCTTTTTGGAGTCTCAAGCCCCAGGGTCTCTGAAAGCGCTGATCCCTTTCCCAAGAGGTCCCCTCCCACATTTCAAAGGGTTAGGGGTCATAGGTTCACTGGCCTGTCCTTAGGGAGCCCCAGGTGGAATGGTCACGGCCAGGCCAGCTGGATGCCTCGGCTTTCCAAGCCTGGAGAATATTCCACGGCTGAGACCAAGAAGCCTTCTCCCCTGCCCTGCAGCTTTGCATTTTCTCCTAGCTGGTTGCAGCTGAGCCTCAAAGATTCCACGGTTGGTTTTTCCAAATTATGGGGGGAAAGTGAGACGTGGACGGAACAGATGCGGCTGCTACGTGACTGCACACTTCCCTCAAAAGCTCCCTGCTGGCTGGGCTCAGTGGCTCAGCCTGTAATCCCAGCTCTTTGGGAGGCCTAGGTGAGTGGATTGCCTGAGCCCGAGGGTTCGAGACCCGGCTGGGCAACTTGGCGAGACCTCATCTCTACAATAAATAAAAAATCAGCCGGGCTTGGTAGCACACACCTGTAGTTCCAGCTACCTGGAAGGCTGAGGTGGAAGGATCGCCGGAGCCCAGCAGGTCCAGGCTGCGGTGGCCGGGAGCAGCCACTGCACTCCAGTCTGGGCGACAGAGTGAGATTCCAACTCAACAAAAAAGCTCCCTGCTGTGTCAGTGGACCTGCTTCCCCAGCCCAGCCTCCCTCCTCCTGGTCTCCCTCCTCTCTGCCTGTCTGTTTACCTCAGAGTGCCAGGTCAGGAGTGCTGTGTGTTTGGGCCGCTGGCTGCTCTCCATGGCTTATCAGCCAGTTCCCCGTCACATTTCCTCAGCCCCGGCTTGCGAGGGAATGTCTGAGTCACCAGCCTTTGGTGACTCACATTTTCTTGTCCTCTTGGCCTCCTTCCTTTTCTATTCACTTCTCTGTCCCTTGAGCCCTGGGCTTGCAGGAACCATGACAAGCCCACCTTGATTCCAGCCTGAGTGAGAGTTGTGGCCTCCACCCTGGGATGGTGGGGAATGGAGGCCCTGGGCTTGGGTCTTTCTCTCAGTGAGCTTTGGCCATTGTGTTTTGTTTGCCAGAGGATGCTTCCTCCCTGGGCTTGTCTGTGGCTTCCTGGGGAGGGTGTCTCCTGTATCCAGAATGAGCCTGAGGAAGTGACAAGGGACAGGAGAGCAGGCTTATGAATTGGGTGATCTGGGTTGGAATCTCAGCTCTGCCACGCTGGGTACGTGACCCCGAGCATAGCAGTCCCCTCCCTGAGCCTCCCTTTCTGTCCTGTAGAGAGAGTACTAGCTGTGTGGCAAGGGCGCCATAAACAGATAGGAGGTAATGCACACTCCCAGTGCTGTCGCCTGCCCTGATGCGTCATAAGCACGTGCGCAGGTGCAGGTTGTGACTGCTCTGCCTAAGGACGGGTGCCCTATGGAGAGGGTATCTGGCCAGGGTCTCCCATAAAGAAACTGCGTTAGTGAGGAGGAGGAGGCCCCAAAAGGTGCCCCTCAGGTGTCGTTTGTAAGGAACAGGCTCCACATACCTGTCGAACTTTTATTCATTTATATTGTTAGTAGAAGTATTGGGGCCAGGTGCAATGGCTCACGCCTGTAATCCCAGCACTTTGGGAGTCCAAAGTGGGAGGATCATTTGAGGCCAAGAGTTCAAGACCAGCCTAGGCAATATAGTGAGACCCCACCACTACAAAAAAATCAAAAAATTAGAGCCAGGCTCGGTGGCTCAGCCTGTAATCCCGCGCCTTGGGAGGCTGAGGTGAGTGGATTGCCTGAGCCCGCGGGTTTGAGACCCACCTGGGCAACTTGGCGAGACCTCATCTCTACAATAAATCAAAAAATCAGCTGGGCGTGGTAGCGCGCGCCTGTAGTTCCAGCTACTTGGAAGGCTGAGGAGGAAGGCTCGCAGGTCAAGGCTGCGGAGGAAGTCCAGCAGGTCAAGGCTGCGGTGGCTGGGAGCAGCCACTGCACTCCAGTCTGGGTGACAGAGTGAGACTCCAACTCAAAAAAAAAAAAAGTATTGGGTAGGAGAGGAAAAACAGTGAAAACCTCCTTTGTGCAACCTTCAGAATCTGGCCTCTGGCAGGTAGTCCCTGTGGAATGTAGGTGGCACCCTTGACCAAAGAAGGGGTGAATGAAATTGGTGCTTGTGCACCCCCTCCTGGCTGAGTGTGGATGTGTGTACCGGATGTTTGTGTTCTAGGTGCAGGGCTGTCTTAGTAGTGGCCATCTCATGACCCGTGGAAACAGCTGGGCCTGCTGGAAATGGCCACAGAGATACTGCTGCTGCTTTTCCTGGCATCTGGCCTAGGCATCTGCATACCTCTTACTTCCTCTCTGGTGTTTTCTCATTCAAGGGCTACCTCGTTGTACAAATTGAGACTCTTGAGTGAGGAGAAGAAAAGACATTTGACTTGATAACACATAAGCCACTAGTTTGAGATTCACGTAGGGTCATAAGAAGGGGGTGACATATTTGACAATGCAATGAGTGGGTTAAGGTGCCAATCTGCTAATTCTGCCTCCTGAGTTTCATCTCCCTTTTCTTCCCACCTGCCACATAAAGTGTGCCTGACTTCTCACTACCATAATTAGACATTGTATCTTGCTCAGAGAAGCCCTGAGGCAGGGATATGTAACAGCATCAAACTGGTTTTTATGCAGAAGGACTGCTGCCCTGAGACCTGCCTTCCGAGGAAGCTGGGACCTGTTATCTAGTAGAGTCCATGGATGCATAGATGTGCACACTTGAGCATGCATAGACTGGGTGATGGTTTATGAGACGGAGCTGGGGACCAATGTCTTAGGAGGCCCGTCTAGCCATGGCATGCCAGGGTGGAGTGGCTGAGGCAATGGCCACCCAGGAGAGTGGGAACCCCTGAAGCGTAGTGCCAGGCTGACATCATTGCCCTGGCACGTGGACCATCCGGCAGATGTGTGTTCCAGGTCCTGAGCTGCTCAGAGCAGTGGGAAGGGCTGGAGAAGCAGCTCAGTGCAGATCATCTTTCTAAAACCCTTTCCTCAGTCACACCCTCACCCGGAAAGGGAAGAGGCCCAAGACTCCCCCCACCCACTGGAGGAAGCAAGGGCTCCCGTTATGTGGCAGGAGTGACCTCTTTTGGTCCCAGTGAGTCCCTCTGAGTCACCCAGTGGCCTTTGCCAAGTGCCAGAGATAGGTGGGGTGCCAGAGAAAGCCATCTGACTTCTGGGGGCTCTCCTCAAACCACTGAACTCTAGTGCACCGTGGTGGCTTAGGCAGCCAGACCCCAGGCTCCCTGAGCAGAGCGGGGGCGGCCAGGGCCCTCCTGGTCTGGCACAGAGCTTCCTGCTTTTCCTCCCTCAGGAAGCACACGTTCCCAGCTGGGGAGTGGGTGGTGGGGAGACTCGGAAATCGCTTACCATCTGTGTGCTGGGAGTGGGTGCAGGCGGCCAGGGAGGGATGTGAAGTAGGCCGACCCCGAGTGGGCCCAGTAGGTCCTGGGTGTGGCCACCTGTGTCTCTAAACTTCTCTGGGCCTCGGCTCTCCTCTGGGCCTCTACGCTCCCCCCAGGCCTCTGAACTCCCCTGGGCCTCTACATTCTCCAAGTCTCTAACCTCAAGCAGCAGCTGAGGCAACGGGCTGTATTGGGCGGAGCGTCAGCGGGACCACCAGTCTGCCTCCACAGCAGAACGGATGTGCCCTTCCCAGGTGTCTGTCCCTGTCCCTCCCTGCTGGGCTCGTGGATGGACGAGGCCAGCAGAGGTGCCAAGGCAAGGGCTGTGCCCACAGGCATCTGAAGCAGCCCCTGCGTCGTCCACTCGTTCTGAGATTAGACTTGTCTGTGTGATCAGCCAGCCAGGGGTCAGAGTTCTGACGCGCCCTGGTATTGGGGCAGCACACTCCACCAGGGCTACCATTCGCCCTGAGACCTGGGCTGGGACCTGAAGGCCACTTGTCCACTGTCTGGCTATATGTTGTTGAATGAAAAAGGGACATGTAAATCTCTTTCCCATCGTTCTGAAATACCCATGCCCTGTGGGCACCCAGCCTACCCAGCATGAAGAATTCAAACCTAAAGAAGTGAGTAAGGGACAGGCCTGTGGCTCACGCCTGTAATGCCAGCACTTTGGGAGACTGACGTGGGAGGACTCCTTGGCCCAGGAATTTGAAACCAGCCTGGACAACATAGTAAGACCTTGTCTCTACAGAAAAACAAAAAATTAGCCAGGCATGGTGGCACACATCTGTAATCCCAGTTACTTGGGAGGCTGAGGCAGAAGGACTGCCTGAGCCCGGGTGGTTGACGCTGCGGTGAGCTATGATTGTGCCACTGCACTCCAGCCTGGGCGACTGAGTGAGACTCTTGATTCAAAAAGAAAAAGAGGGTGAAAATCTAGAACCTACCCCAGTCCCCACCGTGTTCCTCCAGATCTCATAGAAGGACTTTGGGGGTGTCAGGACATGGGTGAATCTGGGTCCTGTTTGGAGTTGCTCTTGCAGAACCTGGATTGACTTCATTCTGTGCCCCACCACGCCCCTGGCTTCTGTGTTCTCTGGGGGTCCTTGGCCCAGGCACTGGTGAGAGTTTCCAGGGCCAGGAAGCTTTGGGGGCCTGGCCCAGTCCCTGCAGGATGTGGGGATGCGGGAGAAGGCTGTGCTCCACTCCTTTCAGAAAACCCCACTTCAGGCTCGGTGTGGTGGTTCACACCTGTCATCCCAGCACTTTGGGAGGCAGAGGTGAGAGGATTGCCTGAACCCAGGGCTTGGAGACCAGCCTGGGCAACTTGGCGAGACCTCATCCCTATAAATCAAAAAATCAGCCAGGCAGGGTGGCGCCCCTGTGGTTTCAGCTACTTGGAAAGCTGAGGTGGAAGGATTACCTGAGCCCAGCAGGTAGGCTGCGGTGGCCATGAGTGTGCCACTGTACTCTAGCCTGGGCAACACAGTGAGACTAAAGAAAAAAAAAAGAAAAGAAAACTGCTCTGTGCTTCTCCAGGGCTTGGGGTCTTCAACCTGCACCCCAGGGAAGAGGTCTCACCCCTGTTCTCTAATTCCTGCCTTCTTGGCCTGGGAACAGAAGCTCTGGCAGGAGGCTGGGTGAAGACCTGGAGGGTCCTGCAGCCTCAAGCCCTCTTGAAAGCCCCGGTCACCTGGAGCCTGCCCCTCCCGCCCAGGCCTGCATAGCGCCAGGGAAACGATTCCACAGGCCATGTTCCCTGGCTTTTTTGTCCTCTGACTCGAGCATTTTCTGCCCATATTTGGCGGTGGTTTGGTGCTGGGCAGCCGGCCAGTGTGAGTCTGCAGTGGACAGTCTCTCCCGCCCCAGAAGGCCCCGCGGAGCCACCAGGGAGGCGGCCAGGATGGGAAGCGGGCAGGCACTGCTCTTCCTTCCAGGCCCCAGGAGGAGAACTCTTCCCCCAGATGTTTCTGCGGCTGGGGAATGCTTTGAGGAGCTTCCCCTCCAACTTGCCCTTTCCTGGGAATTTCCTAGCCTAAATGTAGAGCCTTTGACGTGCACTCCAAGCCCTCTTCCGCTGCCCCGGGGAAAGAAGGCAGCTGGGGTGCTGCCTGCGGTCACCCGTAGGGTTTCCCTCAGAGGGGCTGCTGTTTCCCCATCTTCAATGCATGGCTGTTCTCCAGCTCCAGCAGAAGCATGTGGCGGTCACACAGTTTGGTGCCACACCCGCTCAGCCCCACCTAGTGAGAGCAGACGCTGGGGCTATGTATTGGAGTTGCTAGGGGGTTCTGGCTTTCAGAATGGGGGCTCAGTGCTGTGGGCTACTAAAAACTGGGCTTTCCCCTGGGGCAGCTCAACTGTGGGATCCCAGAAAGTCCCACAGGGTTTCTGTGGGGTGACAGCTTTTCTCTTTCTTCTCTCCAGGGTCGAGTTCCAGAATAAATTCTACAGTGGGACCGGTTTCAAGTTCCTCCCCTTCTCCTTCGAGCACATTCGGGAAGGCAAGTTTGAGGAGTGAGCCCTGCTGGCAGCACTTCAGGCCGCCTCCCTGCCTCCCTTCACTCCCTTCACAGTGATCAGTGTGGGCCCTGGGCACTCGTGCCATCACGTCTGGGAGCCCTTAGGGAGAAGCGGCCCTCCCTGGTCTCCGCCACCCCAAGTTTTGTGTGTCGTGTAGTGATTTTCTGGAAAGCAGCTGGGCTCTGGCTGTCACTCACACCCGCTGGACACCGGCTGTGCCCTCCGGCCTCCAGCCCAGCCTGCCCTCCTCCATCCCCTGCTAGTAACCCAGTCATGCGTCCCCTACTCATCGCAGATGGAAGGACACCCACCCACACCACCCACAGCAAGACTGAGCCCCTGCACTGCTGCTGTTGTTACTGGGTGGGCGTGGGGTGGGCGCTCTAACATGCCGCCCCCCGGGCTAGGGGTGGGTCCAAGAAGCCGGTGTTTGTGTGTTCCCCCCCATGCTTGTTAATAAGGAATTCAGCCGACCCTATGGGCCATGGCACGGCTTCCCCATCACCCCAGGAATCCCAGGCTACCTAGCACACCCCCTCGACCCTGGCCTGCACTCCCACACCCTCCCCCATCTGTACAGAGCAGCGGAGCTGCCCAGAACAGGCGGCACACGGGGCGACCCTCCGTCA